TTGTTAAAATCTGTTTGGTGCAAATAACAAAATGATAATTAAAATACCAAATTTTTATCATTCAATGAAAACAATTTTGTTTTTATTTTTCAATATCTGAACAGTGTGGTTACAGGGTTGTTTTATAATTAATAGTTTAAAATTAATCTCACTATTTTGAAAATTTCGTTCTGTTTAATAAATAATAATATAATGTATAATGATCAAAAGCTAATAAAGTTCCTACGAATAATATTTTTCAGATTTCAATAAAATTCGATTCAAAATATTTATTTAAATATCCAATTTTGTTAACATTTAAACTTGAAATACAAATAGAAAAAAACTGTTCATATAATATTGTGCACTTTTGAGATTAGAAGGTATATATGTAAGAATAAATTATGATAATCCTTATACTGCATTTTCAATCCTTTTGATCAAGCATAAAGTATTTATCAACAATTATAGAAAATAAAGAGAAAAAAATTGAATATTTTAAGCGTTAATAAATGACCTAAAATTATTAATAATTACAAATTATTTTATTAATAATATGTTAAAAATTTAATTTACACAATACGCAAAGTTGTTGTTTTATAAACTGATAACCTAAGAAAAATGAAAATATAATGTTTCCTTGATGACTATCTTATGAATAATAATCAAATACAAAATTATTGTTTGAGAATAAATCAATAAATGATAATTAGTATTACACATTTAAAAATTCAGCGGTGTTATAAATTTAACTATTAATTGCAATTGCTCATAAATAATTTATCATATCTCATGCGAAATATTTTTTTTCAATTTTCTGTAATCTAAATTTTTAATAAATTTTGTATTCCATTTTAAAGGTGTAAAATCAAAATTTTTATACATTTTTAATAGCAAAATAATACATATTTTTCGTTCAGTTGACGAATTTTATTAACATTTAAAATTTATATGGTTAAAAAAAATTGCCACTAAATTTATATTGGATATTTTTGAATTTATTAAAAAAGTATGAGAATCCTTGTGTAGAATTTTTAAGTTTATTTAATCAATTAAAACATAATATTATAATTCATAAATAAAAAAAAACTAATATTTTTTTGAAAATTTAAAATATCTTTAAAAATATCACACAATTTTTAAGTCTTCACAGTTATGTACTTTTGAATTACAATAAAAATAAAATTAATTTTATGCAAAAAATTCCAGTTTTTGTTAATTTTAAAAAGTTTAACTAGTTTGTTAAAAGTGTATGGGGATATTTTTATTTTGATTAAAGTGTAAACTTGATATAATTGGCTACCAGAAGCGATATATTTTACAGTTAGAAAATTTAATTTACCGCTCTTATTATATTATAATAGTTACACACAAATAAAAATATGCAAAATTATTGTAAAACCAAAATATCTATCACTCTGTTTAGAGGCTAAAATGTAGTGTCATTAGTAAGTCTAAACTTAAAGCTTTAAACAGATATTTTACTTTAATTTTGTTTTCATATAATTATAGAAATTAAATGTAATCATACATATTTTATTTAATTTAGTAGTATTATAACAAGTAATCATATTGTTTTTAGAAATTTAATAAGCTAGAAAAAAATGTATTATACGAGTATCTAGTTGAAAAACAAATTAGTAAACTTATATTAAAATTCAATAAAAATTGTTAAATAATATTCATTTTGATTCATTTTTAGAAAATTTATTAACTACTTCAACATTGATAAAAATTTGTTTTTGAATTATATTTAAAAAAAATTTTATACATCAATAAACCTACGTATGGTATAATCTATAGATATTATTTTAGTTAAGGGCCATGGCTTCTTTAGGATACGCTATTTAAGAAGATACACTTTTGAGATATTCAATGCGATTCAAATATAGCTGCTAGTTATAATATATTTACATATCAAATTCTTTGTGTTATTACAGGAGTTTTTAGTTTCGTATCTCTAGCATTATTTGCAATTGAATCACTTGCTATACACGTGCCAAACAGTTACAAGGAACCATGGACCGATACAGAAAATAGATTTTTCGAAGGGAAGAAATGGGTAGTTTTAGTAGCCGGTTCGGATGGATGGCGCAATTACAGACATCAAGTTTCGTACAATATTTACTATTATAATTTAAAGATTATCGAAGATGTGCATAATATAATTTCATATTGTATAGTTAATAATACGACTAGAGTTAAATTATATATTAGTATTCGTTAAATTTAATATTGTCTAAAATTAACTAAGCAATGATATTAGGAACCATATGATCGGTGAATTACTAAAGGGTAATGAGTTCACTTTTAATGCACTATAATAAGAATTAACGCAGCAACACGTACTATTCTAACTATTACCTACTATTTATAGAATATATGTCATGTCTTAGTTGATACCTGGTTACAATTAATTCTAAGAATAGGGTCTTAACAATAGCTGCAGTAAAGAATAAACTGATTATTGCAATATATTTTAGGAAATATTTCATGATATATTTAGCAGATAGTAAAGGTGCTTTATTAGGCATTTGCCTAATGCCTTATAGGTTTTAAAGGTATTACTTTTAAATTAACTTTAATTGAATTTTCGATACATTACAATATATCAGTTTTGAGTTTAGAAATTTCGATCATTAATAACTATAGGCAAGCGCCTATAATTATAAACTGTTATTTTTTAAGAAAAGGGTAAAAACCTTTTGTATATAAAATATATATATATATTTATAAATAAAATAAAAATATATAAAAATAATAAAAAATAATAATAGGAAGCGTTTAATTTAATAACCATGTTATGTATGGAAATATTGTAGAATATATTATTAAAGTATACATAGTTAGTAAGTGAAATCAATTAGTTTATATTTTTGTTTTTGCTTTTTTTTTAATAGATACCCATGTACATATTTAAAGTAGATTATATAAAATAAATATTAACTAGGTATGTATAATATAATATTAAAAATATTTATGTATATCCAGGTACGTATTATCTAATGTACTTAAATAAAATAATACAGTATACACTCGAATTTATAAACAATAATTTAAATTTATATTAATATAAAAATTAATTAAGAGTATCATTAATTAATGAATCGTAATTTAATATTTAAATATAATTTGATGTATTATAATATATCTCATATAATGTCTTAGGCGGACATATGTCATGCATACCAAATAATTCGAAGAAATGGAGTACCTGAAGAAAATATTATTACGATGATGGTGGATGACATTGCTTACCATGAAAAGTTAGTATTTTAATTAAATAGTATGTTATGTACCTATTGTACTTATATATTAAAACACTAATTTATGCGTTATAATATGGTTAATTGAGTTGGCTTAAACTTTAATTTAAAATTAATGACCAGTCTTTATATTATTATCAAATATTCAAACTTTAAAATTTGTTTGATTCCTATACTAATTATATTTTATTCACGACACTACCTACATATTAATATAGAGCTAAGATTATCAGTATTATACCTATTAGTTATTACTAACTAGTATTATGTTGATAAATAATTAAATTTTTATAATTTTTTCACTGTTGATATTAAATTGGTAGTATATCAAATGGCAAAAACGATAAATAGTGTGAATTCAAAATAAGTATTCATATTGTGTTTATATTTCGTGCTCAGAACTGTAATTTGATTAAATGAATTAGCATATAAAATAAGTAGGTATAAGCTATATAATTGAATTCAAGTTTTATGATATTTTGAATAAATTTTATTTATACGTTTGAAATATTTTTTATGATTATGTATAGGTAGGTATCTATATCAACACAAAAAAAAAAAAAATTGCTTTACTATATTGAAAACAGTTAAAGGTTTTTTTTTTTTTTATATATCTTTATACGATTGAATAATATTTACATTTATAATATTTTAATTAACAAGTGGTATTACTGAGTTCCTTGCTACCCTGTAATTAATCGCTATTTGATTCAATCTATTTAATTAATGTTCTTTTTTGTAACAGATTGAATAAAAATGATAACAAAAAATATACATATATTACTGTACAAACAATGTATAGATTCAATAATGTAATCATGGCTTTTATTGAAAAAAAAAAAATAAATAAAAAATTGCTTTTATTGTTTTTATATTTATGTTTACGCGCCAGGACTTGGCATACATAATTTCGTTCTTGGTATAACCTGCAGTTAATTATTAAGAGTGGTCGAAGTGCATACATGCGAGGGAAGAATAAATATATAATAATTAATACCTCTCATAACTAGTCTTTTACTTTCATCATTGTATCACAATAATTATCTGTTGTTTATTTATATTTTCTTTGAAATTATACGACAGGAATCCAACACCGGGAAAAATTGTTAATCAGCCCAACGGTACGGACGTATACAACGGAGTTGTTATTGACTACAAAGGGGAGGTAAGATAATATTTTTCACGTTATTCAAACATTAGATAATACATGGCTGCAGCTTATGTTTATATGATGACATGCAAACCTGCAAGATTGTGGGATGTACGCAATTTTTGATTTTTTTCAATTACACAATTGCTATCATGATAACCATCGTGATTTTCTGTTATTGATTAAACTTATAACAGACTTTTTTCATTTTTGGATATAAATATACAGAAATCAATTTTTTTGACCTCGACAGCTGAGCTGTTTGTGTAATCCAATCGGTACCTATAATACTTATATTGATAAATATATATATATATATTATGAACTTTCTTATAGATTTTTATACTTAAAAAAAAGTACCAAGTGTTACATAGCATACAGCAAGAATTTTTAACAATCAATCAGCTTTTATTGATTTAAGTTTAATTTTTTTGATAAAAAATGCAACTTGTAATAACTGTATTATACAACATTATTGTTTGACTCTAAAATTAGGATGTGAACAGCACAAACTTCTTAAAGATCATCACCGGAGATAAAGAGGCTATGCAATCCATTGGAACTGGAAAAGTAATTGAAGGGTACGTATAATGTGTATTGTAAACATCTTCGAGTGAGAAAGGGCATTATAATATACTCGAACGTTTAGTGTAAAAAATAAAATCATAATTTCGAAGAATCTAAATGATTATTGTTCTATTATAGAAATTCAATAGAAAACGGTAATGTATAATAAATAATTAATATGCTATTTACAATTACAATTGTTTTTAAAGTAAACAATTTTTGAAGAAAATTAAATTTCTATTTTTTAAACAGCACATAAAATACAGTATTAAAGTAACTATAAAAGTTTCAGCTATTACCATTAACTATTCAGTATAATATTATATTGTGGTTTAATACTTTTATATTAATTTCGAAAGTTTACTGTTCATTGCAGTTATAGGCGTAGATATAGTTGTATATTATGTTTATTAAACCTTTAATAGATAAATATTATTTTTTATGAAATTGTTTGTTTTATAAAGAGGACCAAAAGATAAGGTGTTCATTAATTTTGTCGACCATGGTACAACAGGATTATTAGGTTTCCCAGACGATTATTTGTACGCTGATCAATTGAACGACGCTTTAAAAACTATGTACGCATCTGCAAGTTATAAAATGGTAATTTTTCCTTTAATTTATAATGCAAATCATAATTTTATATTTTTAATGGTGATGCGTTAAAATGTCTGGTGATGTAGATGTTGTTGTACATTGAAGCATGTAAGTCAGGTTCTATGTTTGATGGGATACTCCGTGACAACACAAATGGTAAGTACAGAGATACAGGATTTTGGCTTCCTTGTGATTTTTTTTTTTTGGTAAAAAAATATTCCAAATGAAATATTAGCTGTCTTCTATTAGTATTTATATTTTTAAAATTAATATGTATATAGGTTATAAAAATAATTATTAATATGTTATAAATTATATTTAATGTAATATAGTATAAAAAAGTAATTGATTTCTAGGGTTCGGAAGTTGTAAGAGCTAAAAAAGGCAAATTATGTACGAAAAAATTACAAAATATGCATTATAATGATGTTAAATATGCAAAAAAATTATTCTGAATTCCAAAAATAAAAAACAAAAAAATACATTAGATGTTGTTAATAAATTATTACAATAATAATATGCATAAAAACTGTTTGTAACTTGTTGGTATTTTAATATCTTATTGAGCTAAAAATAAAATTAAAAATATTTTTGAAATTATGATATTTACCTTTGTTGAGAATTTTGAATTTTATGATCAATATTAAATGAAATATACCGGTTAAGAAAGAAAAATATGAAATATGCACTTTTTTTTAGTAAAAATTGACAAAATATGCATTTTCAATTTTCAATTTTTTAACTCTCCGTTGTACAGTTTAGATCTCTAACAGTTCTGATATAAATTGAGAATATACAGAATAATATGCAATTCTTTTAACTTCTGAACTCTATTGATTACTAATAAGCATGCTTCTCATCACCATTTTTAAACTAGCCTAACCTCATAAAATAAATAAAAATTAGTGGGTAAAAATAAATTTTACAATTATGTATTATGTACAAAAATATAGGCTATACATTAAATTATATATTTATATCTATCATATTCTAATAAAATAGCTACTTGATTTAAACATTTACTATAAAACAATTTTGTTATTTACGAAAATGATGCTTTTTAATGTATTTTTCATCAGTACTTCCAAAATTGTACATTTTGTGTTAAAATCTACAATTAAAGTATAAATCTGTTTTAAAATTAGTTTTGGCGGTAACTGCAGCAGGACCTAGGGAAAATTCTTTTGGATGTTATTGTAGAAATCAATCTGGGCCATACAATACATGTCTTGGAAGTTTGTTTAGTGTAACGTGGATGGAAGATTTGGATGCGGTATGTTTTTATTGTGTAATTTTAAAATAATTTGCATAATAATATTATATTACGCTTAAGGTGGTGGTGGGGGGAGGGGGGTTAGAGGAAGAGGTGAATAGATTTAAAAATTATGAAAATTTAGAAATTATTATTTATTTTAAAATTCTAAAAGTACTCAATTTTAAAACCTTGGCCATTTAAAGCCAAGTACCTTTATTCAATTTTCACATTGGATAATCAGAAATTAAAACACTTAGATAGGTAGGCTGATCACAACTACTATCATGGTGATTATCCATGGGATTGGCTGTGAGTGGTTGTTGTGAGCTGTATTTCACAATAAAATTCACTATTCATGAAAAATAAGGAATTTATTTTTCAATAAAAAAAATTAATTATATTATTTTTAATATGAATCTTTACATAAATTTATTTTCTATTGACAAGATTAGTAAATCATTAAAACTACTTTAAATTTATTTTTAGAAGAGCTAGGATGCTATTTTAAGGACTTAAACCGTAAAACGTTTCAAACTCGCTAAACTTACATTTGAATTAGTTTTTTTATGATGCTACTATCTAGTGATAATGTTAATCGTTTAAAAATAATATTTATAAAAGTAATATGGCAAAATATGACGTTTTTTTATTGAATAAAAAACAACTGTATAATATTATTTTGGCTATTATTTTTTCATGGCATCACTATTTAATTTTTATTATAATTAAAGGTTTTATTATAATACACGTTTTTTATGATAAAAAATAGTACAATATTATATTAGGTATTGACAAAATCCACAAAGTAATAAAGTTGTTTGTCAAAATAATATATTTAAAAAAAATCACATGAATCTAAATTTACTTTTTAAAAATTCTCTATTTTTAGAAAAATATAGAACAATAAAAAACAAATTTAACTTTTGTTTGAAGTTTTCGTTAAAAAAAAATGTGGTTAAATTTGATAAAATTATATGATTCATATAAATTGTTAAATAAAAATGTTCTAAACAATAATTTATACATAGATACTTTTTTAGTTATAAAGTTATTTTATTTATAGGCCATGACATTATATATATATATATATATATTATATATATATTACAAATACTTACACGAACATCACATAGTACACACATAGGCGGAGCTTGATAAATTTAGTTGGGGGGGCTTGGCTTAAGCTTAGCTAAGCTTTCCTAGCTTCACTTATGAATACACATTGTTTTTGTATTTTAACTACCAAACGTCATATCTGTATAATTATTTACACGACATACTTTATAATATCATATTATGTATCTATATTGATTTAAATTTTAATCGCCGTGTAGACGGTATTTGAGTCTTCTGCGAAAAAGAGAACCGTTTTTAACGACTTCAAAGAGGTGAGAACCAACGTCACCAGAAGCAACGTTATGGTATACGGTGATTTCAAAACGGGCCACGAAAAGCTTTCCGCGTTCATAGGTTACAAAAACCCCAATAAACATTCCTCGGCCAAACCAAAAATGACCAAAACAATTGATTCAAAGGTGTAATATTAATGATTATTTATGAATTGCGAAGCACATTATATTGACTAGCATTTTTTTCGTAAACATAGATCACTGTGTCCAGTAGAGACGTGTACGAAAATAGCATACAACACAAATTTGCGAACCATAAGCTGTCAGATTCGGAGAGACGACATTTGTCAACGGAATTACGTCTGAACAACGAAGTACCTCCAAAAATAATAATTAACTGTTTTACGCAGCCCAATGTTTGATAGAATACGAATATATATTGTTATAGATGAGGTTGATCATCGACAGAACACTTTGGAACATTTACTCGATGGTTGCGAAGGCTAGACCAGAAATCATGAGTAAAGTTGGCGACTTTGACGAACCCAATAATTTAGAACTCTCGTTAGACATATTCCCCTGTTACAGAAGTATTCTAAATAAAATCACAGAGAGCTGCTTTTCTTTGCCACGAGTACGTATATTTCTGCCATAATAAATTGTAAATTGTAATTAATTAATCTTTTAGATGTTGTTAAAAAAATGACAACTTTTATTTAGTCTTGATGTAAGCTGTTACATAAATTTTGTACCGAAGGATTTTAAGTTTAAAGGCATCTATTGAACTAAATAAGTTTACCAGAATGGTAGATATATCGTTAGAGGAGAATAAGTATGAATAATAGGTAGGTGGTAGGTACAAGTATGTAAAAAAAATATTCTCGTATTAATTTTTTAAATCTTAAATATAAATATAATTTTTTTCATTAATTTCTAACTATAGAATAATTTGAAATTTTTAAGATTTTGAAATTTTGTCAAAATCCTAAATTCAAACATTTATAAAAAAAATATTGTGATTTTATAAATTTTTGATATTTTTGAATTGGTAATTTCTTATAATTTTTTTTTAAAATAATAAGTGATCTCATAAGAAGGAATCACACGGTTAGTATATCTACTTATTGTGACTTGTTTTTTACTTTATGACTTTGTAACTGGATGTAGTAATACTTTAAGAGCATTTGTGATACTGTTTATGTGTGTAAGTTGTGGTCTAATTTACCTATTTTAACGTGTCAGGAAAATAAATCTTGGATATTCCTGATACAAGGTTTTTTAATATCCTACGGTGGTTTCGTGAGTTAAGTTGTTAGCCATAATATTACTAGTTGTCATATTTTATTATGTGTATAATCCATAGTATTATTGTTAATATTATGATTATTTATACTAGAATAAAATCTTATTATTGACATGTACATGTCTTATGGCTGGGGATGATTCTGTTAATTTGTGTGACACCTAGAATGTTACCATGACATAATAAGCGTTTTATGTAATGCGTGTGCGTCGATCAGTGGGGACTGGTTACCGGAAATTAGCGATTATACGAACATAATCGGAGTCGTGGTGACGTGTAATATAGTATTGACAGTGACATTAGGTATAGTTCGTTGTTTAGTAATTATTTTGACGAATAAAAATAACTTTTTTGATTCTTATGCCAACTGTATTTAGTAGAAACAAAACATGTACCGATGTATCTGCACAAAGTGTAGATACTCATTGTTTTTTTTTATAAACTTTATACTGGTATAATTAATTATATGATACCTTAGCTTAGCTTATTTGAAAATATTTTTTTCACATAATTTGAAGTTATTACAAAACAAAATATTTGAAAAAAATTACTTTTTTATATTTTCTATTGTGATTATTTTTAAGTTGTTTATTTTTATGAATGAAAACATACATTTAAAATTTCATATTCCAAATTTCAAACAGATTATTTTTTAAACTATTTAAATAATATATTAACATTGGATTTCAAACAAGGAATTAATTAATTATATTATGTGTTTAAAGATAATATGAGCTGTATTAGTATTAAGTTGGTGCTAATCAATTATACAGTATGTTATATTATAATTAACGTCACGTTTTTTCGATTATTGATTACAGAATCCTTACGCTTTGGATCGGTTGACGATTTTCGCAAACTTGTGTGTTGTCGATAAACACATACACCAGATGGTCGAAAAATTTGTCGTTGCATCGTGCTCAAATATTTCAAAACAACATATTATAAGAAACGTACACTAAAATCGTATGGAATATACGTAGCAGTATTCACCTACGTGACAATTATGCGTATAATAGATATTAATATAATAATATATTATACTATTATATAATATGATTTAAAATATGATTACACAAATAATAATTTTAATATATATTTATCAATTATAATAAAATAATATTTCTTATCTATAAATTAATAATTCCTTGAATAGTTGAATAATGAATATAAATAATATATACATAACAATAATACTCTTGTGTATTTATAACTGTGTATACATTTTCCAACTTTAGTTTTAATAACCATCAGGATTGGCACCAGAATTTTTACCGTTGGGAGGGAGGTGGTATAAGGAAAATATCATTTTAAGAAAGAAAACAATATTTTAACTTTTAAAAATGAAATTTTTATAAAATTTTATAAAAATAGATTTGAGAGAATACTCTATGATAAAATTTTTAAACTAAAAATCAACAATAGAATATAATATACAAACAAATATTTATATTATTATTTTTTTTTATAGTTATAATAATCGGTTTAACATAATTTGTTTTTGTGAACCAAAACTAAATTAATGTGCGTGGGCGAACCTATACGGATTGAAAAAATAAGTTATATCCATATTCTAAATTTAAAAAAAATTATTGATGAGACATTTATTGAAATTGGTTCAGTAGTTTTTAAGTTTGTAGAGAACAAAGAAAGAAACATTAATTTATATCTATGTATAAATATTATTAACGCCATACAAAGCTATACCACTGTTATGACTTACGACTAGAGGTCGGAATAATATTTTTGTGCATATTTTGTTGAGTCTATGCAATCAAATTTCAATGTGAAATCTATAAATATTATGAATCATATAATTCGACAGCAAAAGATTTTTTGCATATTTGAGAATATTTTAAGATAAAAGAATATTTCGTATAAGAAAGAATATTAGAGAATATATCAATTAATTTTATAGAATTTGGATATTTTGTGTTGTGGATATAATATTAAATAAGTTTTTAGTCCGTTATTATTGAGATAATTATAAATGGAAAAACAATATGGAATGAGTTAATAAAATTTTAAGTTAACATTTTTTTCAAGCTAAATTATGAGGTACTTACCTATAATTGCTTATTTAAATAAATAAAAAAATATATTTCAGTTAACATATGGAATTGTTTCATAATTAATGCCTTTTATGTATCAATTATATTGTATTTTTTTTAAATATAAAAGCATATTTTGTATTTAGAAGAATATATTACCGTAAAAGCATATTTTTGGCATATTTAACTACAGTTTTTAAAGAATATTAAAAGAATATTATCAATTTTTTAGGGGAATATTAGCATTTTATTTTAACTATTTTAAGAGAATATTATTCCGACTCCTACCAATGACTATAACTATATTTTATTATGATAATTTTGTACGTCTACGCTTTAAATTTATCCAGAGTGAAATCAAAGAACATGTAACATACAAACAAACACACACACACATATAATATATATTTTACATTTAAATGCTTTCATTTTGTGTGCATGATGTTAATGATTAGATGTTTGTTTGATGTT